CGGGGGCTCGCGCGCCGGCCGCCGGGTGATCGCAGGCAGGCAGGCAGGCAGGCAGCTCGGTTTTTCATTTCTGTATCGCAACCTCTAACTCATATGTATAGAAATAATCAGCTAGAAATAATATCATGGTTTCTTTGTGTAAATTCTTGAAAAGACTAGCACTCTGGGAGGATGAGGCAGGAGGATTGCAAGTTTTTGAGTCCCACCTAGGCCATTTAGCAAGACCATGTCTCAAAATCAGAAAATAAAATAACATTAAGACAGCCGGGGCTGTAACTGAGTCCAAAGGCCTTGACTACAATCCCTAGTAGAACCAAAATAAATAAATAGAAAATTTTAAAAGGATAAAAAAGGAAAGGGATAAAATCTGTTGCTCTCTCTGGTCTCTATTGTAAACCACTTTATGGACCCCTACGCACCCTGGGAATTGGCCCCCCAGGGTCAAGTTCCTTCTCCACATCTCTTTAGCTATTGTGTGCAGGGGGCTAAAGATTAGCCTGGTAAAACAAAAAAAAAAAGTAAAGCCAGGTGTGGTGGCGCACGCCTGTCACCCCAGCACTCGGGAGGCTGAGGCAGGAGGATCGCTGTGAGTTCCAGATCAGCCTGGGCTACACAGTGAGTTCCAGGTCAGTCTCAACTACATAGTGAGACCCTGTCTCAAACAAACAAACAAACAAACAAACAAAAAACCCCCAAAACTAACGATTAGCATGCTAAGCTGCCCCTCTGAAAGTTGTGGGTGGGTCAGTTTAAATTAGAAGTTAGTAGACATACTCTGTTGGCAGCCTTAACTTGCACCTTTCTACTTGAGAGACTTTGGGTGTCACCCTACATCCTTGAGCTTTAGTTCCCCTCTGTGAGTGGCTTTGTTCACACAGATAGCACTGGTGGCACAAGTTTGCTATGAGGAATCAAGGAGAGAAAAAGTGAGCAGAACAAAGAGCCTGGTGCATAGCAGGTTCCCAGGGAAAAACAACAATTACAGTTAACGTTCAGACAGTGAAGCAGACTCAGTGTTTTTGTTTTTGTTTTTTTAAGCACAGCCCCCAGAGTTCCTAAAATGTGTCATTTTCATTGGTGTACATGCTGGTTGGCAGAGTAGATGCACAGTGGATGTTTGACGGAAATAGAACAAAACAGTAAGTTTTCTTAAACCATCAGCATATGAAAACATCTGCCTACTCTCTCGTCCTGAGAAATCTTTCTCATGTCTGGCCTAATTTCCTAATTTCTCCACTGGGGAAGAGTGGGGGGCTGACACGGATCAGCCCCACTTTTGCTTTCCCATTTTTTTTAATTTGTTTGTTTTTGTTTTGGTACTGGGGATCGAACTCAAGACCTTGTACTCATGAGGCAGGCACGGTGTCACTGAGCTAAATTCCCAGGGGTCTGCTTTCCTGTTCTTGGCCCAGCACAGGGGAGGCAGGACCAAACTGCGGCCCGCTCCACCAGGCCTCACACCTTACTGGCTGTGCCCGTGAGATCCTCTGACAGCCTGCGACGTGCAGGAGGAGCGCTCCCTAGGGGACACAGTTTATCACACTATCTATTCTGTGCTTGGGACAACGGCCAGGGCCTCGGCCTCCTCCTGGGGCATCATATTTATGTCTCCCCCAAGTGCGGTGGGGTTACCTTGCTTATGTGTGCATAACCCACAGAGCCCAAGGTGAATCACGCAATTTCTCCAGAGTGATTTTTTTTTTTTTTTTGGGGGGTTGGATAGACTGGGGATTGAGCCCAGGGCTTTCACACTGAGCTACAGCCCCAGCGCTTCATTTCTAGATAGGTTCTCACTAAGTTGTCTAGGCTGGGATCTAACTTGTGATTTTCCAGCCTCAGCCTCTAGAAGGCTGAGATTACAGGCTTGTGCAGCAATTTCAGCCACCACATTTGCCTGGGTAACTACTTTTTATTCTTTTTAAAAGTGTTTTGTTTTTTGATACAGGGTGTCCCTATTCCAGGCAAGTGCTCTACCACTTAGTTGTACCCAAGCCTTGACCGTCTATTTTCACCCTTTCGTGTATGTATTTTATTCTTGAGTGAGATGTTTTAGCAAAGCTATTGAATTCAGTAAGAATGATTTCCTTTGGGAACTGAATCCAGGGCCCCCCCCTTTTTTGGAGACAGGGTCTTGCTTTGTACTTCTGGCTGGACTTGAACTCACTAGGTAGCCCAGGCTGGCCTCAAACCTGCAGCCATCCTCCTGCCTCAGCCTCCAAGTGCTGGGATTACAGACATGCACCACCATGCCTGGCTCAGGGCTTTTGGCATAGTAAGTGCTCTACAACTGAGCAACCTCTCCAGCCCAGCGATTTGCACTTTAGTAGATTTAGTTATAAGAATTTTTTTTTTCTGGCACTGTGATAGCCAATCCAACTCCGTCTCGTGCCTCTACGCCATTTTGTACCTGTGCTTGAACAAAGTGCTTGAACAAAGCACCCAAAACCCCCACATCCTGCTTGGCAGTAAACTTGCTACAGTTGCAGGATGTATGGTAGCTCACCCAGTGTGTGAAACTTCCTTGTGTCCCCCACGAACCTGGCATGTTTCTGTTTCTGTAAGATTCCGCTTGCTCTCCCTGAGCCCTCCCCAGCTGAAACCATGATTTAAAAGGAGAAATCAAACCCCTGCAGAAAGAGCTTTCCAGGGAGCAGCCCCCTTGGCTTCAGGCTTTAATAAATGGGCTCAAATCTGGCACAGGGTGTGGTGCATTTCTGTTGTTCTAACTCCTCATCCATGTCAGTGCTGGGGATCAAACGCAGGCAGAAGCGACGCCACTTAGCTAAATCCTGGCCCGACAAGAAATAGTCTTAAAACAGGCATTAGTGGTACAAGTTTGTAACACTAGCACTTTCAGACTAAAGCAGGAGTATTGAGAGTTCAAGGCCATCCGGGGCTACAGACTGAGATCCTGTCTCACATTAATTAATTAATCGATTAAAATAAAAAGTATTCTTCCTATGAATTTCTTTCCCAGAGAACATGAGCTGAGGCAAATAAACCATGGAGATGGGCGGAGAGTTTAACTATTCTAGTTCCTGTGAGATTATAATGGGTAGGTTTGACTTTAGAAGAACTCTGAGGTGAGGCAGCTTTTTAAAAATCCTACACCATGACTAATAGTGGTGGTTATTAAAGTGGAAGTCGGACTACCTAGAATAAAGCCCAGGGTGATGGCACACGCCTGCAATCCAAGGACCAGGAGGCTGAGCCAGGAGGATCGCTGCGAACTGGAAGCCATCCTGGTTACAGAGTGAAACCCTGTGGCAGACAAAGGTAGAATAAAGACTTTGGCGAATCCACGGAGGCACTGCATAGCTTTGAACACTTTAAGTATATGCCTTGGTCATTTATTCACTTCTCACTTAGATTCTAAAAGCAAGAAATGGAAATAAATGACAGAAATAAAAGTTAAATGTGCTTCAAATGCCACTCCTCCAATAAATTTTAAAATTAAATTTGGAAGGGCTGGGGATTTAGTTCAGTGGCACCGCACCCGCATGGCAAGTAAGAGCCCTGAATTCCATCCCTGATACCCCCCCAAAAATAAATAAATAAACAAAAGTAAAATTAGGATAAGGGGAGGAAAAAGGGAGGGGAAGATCAAGCTTAAAGGCCTGGAGAAAGCTTAGAAAATCTCTGAGGAACAAACGGAAGATTATTTTAGGCATTTGGATTCCCTGGGAAGTTTTCCTGGCTTTGAGGACCTAATACATGGAGAGTATTTTTCGCTGTCAGAGCTAATCTTTCAAATATTGTACAAGACTACAAGCACAACTCTACGTGGACTTTTGTTTTTACCTGACTTTAACTCTAGTTTCCCTCTGGCTTTTCAAAAACAGACCCGCCCATCACTGACTTCCAAGGCAAGAGTGGGTGGCTGGCGGCCCGCTTTGTCCTTGGGGTGCGCTTGGAGGTTTGCTTCCCTCAGGTTCTGGCAGGGGGTGGGGTGGGGTGGGACAGAGAGCTCTTGGCCATGCAGGGTCTTTCTTGGCTGGTTGGCTGTGCATCCTATCAAACAGTGAAAAAGTTTATTTCCATGTGGAAACAAATCTTGCAAAATTATCCTACTGTCTAAAGCAGGCTTACTTACTAGGGACAAAGCCATTCTCCGTATTAAGTCATAGTCCTTGCAGTTCCAGCTCTTACACCTTCTCCCCTGCAGCCTTGTTTGCTTTGGTTCCTGTTCTTGTCAGTTACCCTTCTATCCACCCATCCCATGTACCCTGATGTGTTTGTCTATGACCCTTCATGAATTTAGGACTTTATCGTAACAGCCATGCATTGATAGATTTCAATAATGGTTATACTAGTTCTGGAAAATGAAAGATAGGGTTTTTAGAGTTTGATTAATTCCCAATTTCTTTCCTTTATCTCAAGTGAAATGAAGATTCTATTTTTAGACTAAACAAAGATGCTATTGTGACTTATGTCCTGATGTCCCCTCAAAGCCTCATGTGGGCATACGTGAGGCTTTTTCAGAGGTGGCTGGATCTGGAGTGTGTGACACTGGGATCAAGGGCACCAGAATTAAGGGTGTGAGTGCCACCTGCTCTGAGCAACCTGGATAAGATGTAAGGGATAGAAAGAGCTGTGGTTGTTGCTTTGCTGTCTTTCTGCATACCATGAACTGTTTCTCCTCTGTGTTTCCACCCTGCCTTGAATTATCCAGATGATTTACAAACTGTGAGCTAAGTAAACCTTTCCTCCTTTAACTTTGGATGTTGGGTAAAAGTAATGAACACAGATACACAGGCAGGGTGTAAAGGGTTAGGTAAATAGTTTCTTAATAAGAGCCTTTAAATTGGATGTGGTGCACATCTGTAATCCCAGCACTTAGGAGGCTGAGGCAGGAGGATTGCCGTGAGTTTGAGGACAGTCAGGGCTACACAGTGAGTTCAAGACAGTCTGAACTACATAGCAGAACTCTGTCTCAAAAAGCAAAAGCCATGCCTACTGGTACACATCTGTAACCCCAGCACTTGAGAGGCTGGGAAGGAGGATTGCCCCAAGTTCAAGGCCAGCCTGGACTATATGGCAAATTCAAGGCCAACCTGTATTACAGAGCATGCCTCCTCTCAGAGTAACAAAAGCAAACAAACAAAAAAGTATCTTTTAAAAAGCCAGCCACAATGGTGCACACCTGTGATCCAAACAACTTAGAAGCCTGGGGCCTGAGGTAGGAACATCACAGGTTTGAAGCCAGTTTAGGCAAATTAAATTAAAAAAAAAAAAAAAAAAAAAAAAAGAGGCAGGGGAAGTATGAAACTCAGTGGTGGAGCATTTGTCTAGCGTGCATGAGGCCCTGGGTTCAATCCCAAAGTACCAAAGGGGAAGAAAAATGGCTTCCAAAATTTAACTGAAAGTTTTACTTTTTTCAGCAAAGCTAAATATTATGTAAGACAAAAGATGTAGACAGATTGTATAAAATATGCCTTCATAATGACCAATAATGAAAAAGGTAGTTTATGTTACTCCTAAGATATTTAAAAAATTAAGTAGTTGTAAAGGTACAGAAAAGATGCTTTTTAAAGCTTTTCTGTGCTAGCTTTGGCAGCACATATACTAAAGATTTTCTTGCAAATTTTACTGCCTTTTCTCTTAAAACTAGTAGTTCCCAAATGGCTACTAATATCATACACCAGTAGGGGGCGCTGCAACATTGCTTTTAAGTCTTACATAGGAATAGATTTTTGGGCAATTTTTCTTTTGCCCTTTTGCAAAATAAAATGATGAGGACACTGTCAAGGAAAAAAAGCAGTCCCATTAGAATATGAAAACTAGCAAACAAGTTACTAGGACCTAAGTTAGCAAAGGAGAGAATTATTTTCTTTGTCAAAACCAGTGTGAGAACAATGTTTAATACTAATGAACGTCTCATGAACACAAAACTTCATGCTAACTCTCTTACACCCCATAACTTTTGTGGGCAATTATGTATAAGGAACTTCCAAGCTGAAACTAATAGTAAAACTCAGTTGCAGATGGTCTGCTGTACATTATGGTGGTTACAACATGTAACTAAAAATCTCGAATGCAATAGCTTCCAGATAGATTGCGGTTTCGGGCATAAATTACTCAGCATTCACCTGTGTGAGGACAATGTACTGCGAGGTATGGCCAGATGCAGGTATCTGCCTGCGTTTACCTGCACAGTCTGGGATACTAGGTGCCTTGTCATTCGCCAGCAGAGACGACCAGAACTATGAGTCAATGTGCATGTGGTCCTAGAAAAAAGCAAATGCTGTTTCTCGGATTGTTTATTTCCATGAGAAGGAGAAAGAAAAGCAAGCCTATGCATTTCTCGTTGGCCTCACTGGCACAGCTATTATCATTTGTTTTACTAATTTTAGTCTTATGGAAAGAAACCATCAGCACCGAGGGAAAGATGCTTTGGGCTCCACTTATGTTCAGAGTGGTATCAGATACTGGGCCCAGCTGGGATGGGGTGCAGATCTGCACTGTCCCTGCCCACATGTTGACAGTTCTACCTGCAAGGTGAGTCCTCGGATAAGGCAGTGTAGACCCAGACCCTGTTGCCGAAGGTTGTGGTCCTGGGATTGAACCCAGGGCCTCCGTTCTAGGCAGCTACCATAACTTGTATTGAAACGAATGCCACTGCGAGCGGGAGTGCCGGTTCCTGGAGCAGATTCTCCAAGGGCCGTTTGTTTCTCTTCCTGGAGGAAGTGCCATGCTGTTAACGAGACTGGGAGAGAAATTCAATAAATGTCATCCTTGGTCTGAATGGGTGGATGTCAACGCTAAGAGTTGCTTAGTTGAAGTCCCAGACGTGGAGTAACAACTCGTACTTATCAGTGGTGACTCAGAGGGCTGGGGTTTAGCTTAGTGATAGAGCACATGCCTAACATGCTGGAGGTCCTGAGTTTCTGGATGACACTGGAAACAAACAACAACAGAAATATAGAAATAAACCAGCCAAGATTCCGAGAAGCCCAAACCAAGTGGCCTGAAGGAAGCTCAGAGGTATAGGGAGGGCCAGCGTTTATGAACTGGTTGAACAAGACCCTGTCTGGCCATCTGACCCACCTGAGGCAGCTCCGAGGAAGGCCGGTCTGGCCTTGGGGCCTCTTAGAGGAAACCCCAGGGCCAAGAGTTCGAATTGCACTTTGGGAACTGGGTGTGGGAGGGAGAGGACAGCCCAGGACGGATCCAATTGTCTGTGCTTGCCTGAACTCTAGGGGCAGGCCTTTCCTTTCCAGGAGACCCCCTTGGCAAAGGTTTTCAGCCCAAAGACTTTTCCTCTTGCTTGTCCTCAGGGCAAAAGAAAATGCACCTGCTTGGTAGGTAGGGTTGAATCCTCCTGCACTGCAAATTCCAGACCAACTGGAAGGGGATATAAATCCCCTGATGGACCTAAGAGTGGATTCTCACTCAGCTCAGAGTCCTTCTGAATATCATAAGGAGGAACTTCAGCCTTGAGATAAAAGGATCTGTAAACAGGCCTGCAAGGCCTAGGGCTAATCCCACGGAAAGCTCCTTTATGCCCTTATCTCCGGTGACCTCCACAGCAGGTCCGTATTATGATGCCAATCACAAGAAGAAGGAAACTTCCTGGAGCAATCAGCAGGGCTTGAATCTGAATTTAGGTCTTTAACTTCAGGCCTAAAAACCTCTCACGCCATTTTGCACTGCTGAGTATTTGGTCAGCAAGGGAGGGGTAATAAGTATTATCTATTAATTAAAGAAGAAGCATGAATTACTGGTTAAAAGCAAATAGTCTGGGCTTGGATCACAGCTCTTGGATTTGTTAGCTACATGACCTTGTAAAAGCAACTCAACCTGTCTGTGTCTGTTTCTTCATTGGTAAAATAATACCTGCCCCATAGTTTTGTGAGGATTAAGTGAATTTCTATAGTAAAGTTGTTAGAACGATCTGTAGCATATACTAAGGACCGAATACATATTTTCCTCTATGATGATGACAGTGATATTTGTTAATAAACAACGCATTAGGAGAAAGGGATCAGTTGAGACTTTGTCAAATTATTGCTTTTTTGTTTGTTTGTTTGTTTCATTGCTTTATGAATTAGGATCCTTCAGTTCCTCAAATGAATGTCAAAAAGTCTAGCCTAATCTTTGGGACGACAACTGATCATTTTGTCAGTGTCTGACTTTACTAGGGCTGCTGTAACAAAATACTGTATGGGTTAAACACCAGACACTTATTTTCTCACAGTTTTGGAGTCTGGAAGTCCGAGACCAAGGTCTCAGTGGTTCTGAATTTTCGGAGGCCCTCGCCTGGGCCGCAGAAACTTTCTTCTCCTGGGGTCCTCTCCAGGTTGTTTCTCCATGTGAGCTCGTCCCTGGGAACTCTATGCACATTTCCACTTAAAGACAGGGGAGACTAGGTTAGGGCACTCTCCAAAGGCCTCATTGTAACTTAGTCACCTCTTTAAAGTCTCTGGCTCTACACACAGTGGCTGGGAGCTGCTGGACAATGCGACTTCAACAAATGAATTTAGTGTGGGGGGTGCGGAGTGGGGAGCAACTCAGCCAGCACAGCCAGGTTCCTGGAGGAAGAAAAAGTTAGAGCTTTGGACCTAGCTCAGGGGTAAAAGCGCTTTCCTAGCGTGCAGCACGCTCTGCATCACATCCCAGCACGGGTGAGGGAAACTCAGTGCTGTCCTCAGTCACTAAGTGGCAGTCCCCTCCTCGGACACTCGGTGCTCAACCCCAGGGCCTTGCTAGATGAGCTCACTGACACTGAGCTGCATGCATGCCCTGCCCTAACAGGTACCATTTGAAATTTGGTTTTGAGTTACTGAGGATTGAGCAGTTCCTGTGCACTGAGTTATGTCCCCAGCTCTTTTTGTGTTTTTATGTTGAGACAGGGATCTGGATTGCCCAGACTCGGCTCTAAGTTGAGATCCTCCTGCTTTACCCTCCCAGGGTGCTGGCATTACAGGTAAGCTGTACCACCCTTGGCTCATAGGTACCATTTAGAGGAAGAGGTAGGCAGGCATGGGAGTGCACACCTGTAATCCCAGCACTCACACTAGAGACTGAGGCAGGAGGGCAATTGGAGGGTAGCCTGGACAATTCAGTGAGAACTCGCCTCAAAAATGAAAAATGGGGAGAAAAAGGAAGCTGCTGAAAGCTTGGGAGTGACTGTGGATTAGTTTTAGTGGAGCGCCATCCTGCAGTCTTATACTTGGTATTATTTTAGTTCCTCTCCTAGGGATGGGAGCAGGGCCTGTGCACACTAGGCAAGCACTTTACCATTGAGCTCCCCGCACCCCACCCCACCGCCAGCACTCCCTACTTAAGATTTTTGAAGCCAGGCTTGGTGGACAAGGCAGGATGATCGCTGCAGGTTCAAGGCCAGCCTGAACTACATAGTGAGACCCTATCTCAAAAAACGAAAGAGTAACAAACAAACAAGAGAATGTTAGCTCCCCCCTCTCTCCTACTCTTCTTCCACCTGCTGAGAGAGGAGGGAAAGCGGCCGGGCCCAGTAAGGGAGGTGAGCCCTGCGTGAGGGAACAGGGATGTCCTGCTAACCTGGTGCCACTCAGCAAAGGCCTTTGTCTTGCTGGGGAACGGGAACACCCACAGCATCTTATCTGCTATGCTCCTCTGCAAGTTCTCCATCGCGAAAAAAGTGTTTCTTCATTGTGACCCATTTAAAAATAATTTCCCATTATGACCAGTTTAAAAAAAAAAAAGTATTTGCTAAGAAGGTCACTGCTAACTAAACAACAATAAAGACTAAATAAACCTTTCGTACCTTTCAATGTTCTGTGGTAACATTTGCAATACTTATTCTGATTGTGTGATTTAGCAACTTGTTTTTTAAATTCTGATTTCTAATTTAAGATGTTTCTTTGGTTCTCCTTGATTTTTATTTATTACTGACATATTTATTGTGTATTTTAATTATGCTGCAAAAATAAGGTGGCATTTATGCTATCTTTTAATAGAATCCTGGTGTATCTACACACACAAACACGATTGACACGTGCTTTTACAGTGTAACTGCCAAGAATAACTAATCTAGGAATAACTGCAGAATCTGATAATACAGGTGGTGTGCCTTCTTAGAAATAATTTGTCTACATGAAGAGACATAAATCCCTTCCAATTTTAAAAGTGAAATTAAAATGAAGAGCCTGCCTTCTTCCTAAAGGAATATTTAACTACTCTTAGAAAAAAATTGATTCCGAAAAGAAGATTCAAGATTTAGAAACCACCATATTGCAATTCCTTCTGAGTACTAGACTTTTGGTATTACTATTCTGCATGTTTCCTTTTTTCCTCCCTAAGATCTGATTTTGCATGGTTTTGTTGTTTGTTTATTTTGTTTTGTTCTGCTTGCTCTTCACAAGATAGTCACTTTTCTCCAAAGTTTATGTTTCTTAGAGGCAACATCTAATTTTCCAAATAGGTTGGGGGCAATGCGTGGGCTTAATTTCAAAAAATGAGTGGGCTGTACCCAAGGCAGGAGTGGTGCTACACTCTGTGATCCCAGCACTCTGGAACACTGAGGCGAGAGGAGGAGCACAGAGACTCTGAGGCCAGCCTGGACTACACGGCAAGACTCTGTATCAAAAACAAAACAAAACAGTTTCTTTTTTTTTTAACCTAAAAGAAGCACAAAGAAACAAAGAATACATTGCATCAATTCACTTCAGGAATTATTTTAGAGAAATTTGCTCCATTGTTAGAGTTGTTGTTCTGTTTTCTATGATAACATTATCTGTTACAGAAGCTGCCAGCGCCATCAGCAGCTGAATTCCTGAAATGAGTCAGCTAACTTTATTTTTAACTGCTTGTCTTGCTGCTGTGACACAATACCCGATACCCAAAGTTAAAGGAGGAAAGGTTTATTTAGCTCACTGTCTGTAGAGGTTTCACTCCATAGTTGGCTTTCTCCAAGGCAGGGTGGTACATGGCTGAGGGGTGGTAGTTCTTGGCAGGCAGAAGATAGGAAGAGCAAGCAAGGAGATTTACCAGTATCTTTCTGCCCCTTTTATCTTATCTGGACTACTAAGGGTGGGTAGAACTCACATCCTTAATCTAGTGCCCTTAAGCCTAGCATTGCACCACTATAGACCTATAGATTCACACAATAGATCCAGCCACCTCTGAAAAAGCCCCACCTATGATGCATGAGGCTTTGGAGGACATCTAGACACAAGCCATAACACTGCTTTTTAATTGCATGCAGAGACCATCAAGAATAATATAAGAGGGCCGGGGATTTAGCTCAGTGGCACCACACCTGTCTCACAAGCACAAGGTTCTGAGTTTGATCCCTGATACAAAATAATAATAATAATAATAAAAATAATAGAATTTAAAAACATTTTATAGCAAAGCTTTCCCACTGAAGACTATATTAAAAGTAGAGCAAAGATTCAGAATTCTTAATTAATTTCGACAATTTTATTTCTTTTCAAACCTGGTGGCTTAGCTGGATGTGGTGACGCATGGCTGTGACAGAAGGCTGAGACAGGAGGATCCCAAGTTCAAGTTTA